CCTGTAATCCCAGCACTTTGGGAGGCTGAGGTGAGCGAATTGCCTGAGCCCGCGGGTTCGAGACCCACCTGGGCAACTTGACGAGACCTCATCTCTACAATACATCAAAAAATTAGCCAGGCGTGGTAGCGCACTCCTGTAGTTCCAGCTACTTGGAAGACTGAGGTAGAGGGATCACCAGAGCCCAGCAGGTCGAGGCTGTGGTGGCCGGGAGCGGCCACTGCACTCCAGTCTAAGTGACAGAGTGAGATTCCAACTCAAAAAAAAAAATAATCTACCAGTGCCTTCCATAAGTATAAATGTGTCTATACTTTCAGTCTTTCTGATGATTTTGTAGATGCCAGTGTAACTTGTGATTGATTCAGTGTCTGGCATAGGATCTTCATGGAAAGCTGCAAGATAAATTACTTAACTTCTTATGATAAAACCACATTTTGTAATGGGATACTTTTTTTTTTTTGAGTTGGAGTCTCATTCTGTCACCCAGGCTGGAGGGCAGCAGCACTCTCTGAGCCACCTCAACCTTGACCTGTCTGGGCTCAGGCTTCTGCCTCAGCCTTCCATGTAGCTGGAACTACAGGCATGTGCCACCATGCCCGGCTATGTAATGGGATACTTAAGAATGCTACTCTTATATTAAAATAAGTGGTGATAGAGAAAGCAGGGAAGGTAATCAGTAAATTTTTATGAATTTAATAATGATTTTACATTTATCTGAAGTTCTGTTTAGGTGTGTTTTCTTTTCTTTTTTTTTTTTTTTTGAGTTGGAGTCTCACTCTGTCGCCCAGACTGGAGTGCAGTGGCTGCTCTCAGCCACCACAGCCTCGACCTGCTGGGCTCCGGTGATCCTTCTGCCTCAGCCTTCCAAGTAGCCGGAATTACAGGCATGCGCTACCACACCCGGCTGATTTTTTGATTTATTGTAGAGATGAGGTCTCGCTGCCCAGGCGGGTCTAGAACCCGCAGGCTCAGGCAATCCACTCACCTCAGCCTCCCAAAGGCGCGGGATTACAGGCTGAGCCACCGGAGCCCGGCTAGGTGTGTTTTCTTTACATAACTTAAAGGAATTTTCAAGAAAGGTAGGGGAAGACTAGTGTCTCCAAGCTAATGAAAATGTAATTTTTCAGGAAAAATTATGCTCAGTACTGCCTAAAGTTCTTGTTAATGACTGAATGGATGATTTAAAAAGTATGCTCATTAAGTATCTGATATCACCAAGTTGGGTGGAGTGACTAGAACCTTGAAAAACAGGCTTAGCCGGGCTCAGTGGCTCAGCCTGTAATCCCACGCTTTGGGAGGCCGAGGTGAGTGAATT